ATCGCGCTCGTTCGGTTCGTCGGGTCGCCGAACGGTCGACGACGATTCCGACCGGCGTTCGTCGCGACCGCCCAGGTGAATCGATCGATCACGGTCCGATCGTCGTCGCCCGGCGCGGGGTCCGCGATCAGGGAAGCGAGCGTTCGCGTCGCGCGTATCGTCGTACGTTTACCGGAGAATGTCCAGGCTTCGCTCGCTTCTCCGGTAAACGACCGCGGGACGAGGTCGCGCCGCGAACGCGCACCGCTTCGCGACAGTCAATTAATTCGAAATCGCGTCCCGAGCGCGGTAACATCGTCATCGGGTCTGCGCCGCGTTGCGAAATGAACCGGACAACGAACGTGACCCGGCCGGACGGAGCGAACGGGCGCCGCTCGCCTCTCGGAAAGATACCTTGGCAGCTGCAAATCGGAGACGGTTCGCCGCGCGCTCGCGTGGCCGAACGGTTGTTCGGTAATTGCATCCCTGTTCTTGTTCTCCCTTCCCGAAAGCCCCGTCCTCGTCCCGATCCCTGTTCCCGTCCTCGACTCCTCTTCCTTTTCTCTTCAGCGAAACAACCCAATGACCGATCCTTCCAACCCAGTGAATTTTGTACCAAAACGCGAAACTTCGAAAAGCTAATTTCATATACGGAATTTAATTTTTTCACGAAACATATGCATTATAAAAAATAAATGCCAAAAAAATCGCAAAATCGAAGAACCGAATATAGACTGCATTTCAATTTCCTTGCACAGTCTCAACGAGATCGCTCGTCTCTTGTTACCTGCGCGCAGTTTTTCAGTGTCCCTTGGACAGATGTCGGTTTCTTTTTGTTCTTTTCTTTTCTCTCTCTCTTCTCTCTCTTCTCTCTGTCCCTCTGTCTCTCTGTTTCTCTCTCTTTTTATCTTTTCGAGCGTTTTGAGTCGATCAAAGGACTGGCGCTGGTATTACGCAACGCCGGTACCGCGCGCGTAAGTCGTCTAACGTCGCGACGGAGTGTGCGCGGTCTCCCTCTTTGATTTGCTCGATTTCTTTGAAACACTTTCCAAGAAGATTACGACGGACGCGTTTAAGTTTGCGTCACTCTGTCGGGTTCGCGCGAATTCGACTCGATGAACGGACTCGTCCGGAAGGAGAGGTTCGCGCGAACGTCGTCCTCCGTTCGAGTAGAATCGGAGCGCTATCGGTTTAAACTGGAAGCTCGATCCAGATCGAGGTAACTTTCAACGGCGACGCGAACGCAAAATATACGATGCGAAACAATCGGTAAACGTAAATGAAAAATCGAGTGGCGAATGTGACCGCGATCGCGGACGAGAAGGTAGATGTGAACGCGGACGTGAACGGCGATAACTTCGATCAGCTTCGGGAATAATGGATCATCGATCGACGACGCATATCCTTCTCGCTGGCTGACGTGATCGAGGAAAGGAGAGCACCGTGGGATACGAAAGGTAAGTATCCACGCGTATCAACCCATTCTGCCCCATTTCACTAATACTTTCTTTCACGCAAGTATCCTCCCGTTGTACTCGTACAAATACATATATTTATTAAACAAAACGTTCAGCGATACCTCCGAGAAATATATTCTTTAAGCATGTTCTCGACAAGGAACGAACGTTTTCTTCGATTTAGAGTCGCTCGCGGGACATAATGGGTTCTCTGCAACCTCGGTTCGTAGGAATCACAGGCCGGGATCGTCGTCCACGCTGGTCGGAAGCTCAAGGTGAATCCTCTGCGTTGTTACTAAAAGAAAGTCTCGATCCCCGTTTCGGTGTCGGTTACCAAACGTTTCCGGCGTCCGCCATGCACGCGCTGGCCGCTATCTCCGCCAAGTGCGTGTCCCTGTGAGGCGGCGCCGCTATCCGGTGAAACGTTCTCGCCGCCTCGAGGAACGCTTTCAGAGCCTTCTCGGGCTGCTCCTCCTCCATCGCCGCGAATCCTCGCTGGTACAAGTCCTCGCACTCGCGCAGCGTCGCGAGCGGCTCGCGCAAGTCGACCTTCCGCCGACAGCCCGCGCATTCCACCGGGTTTGCCGCTTCCTTCGGCTGTCGGTGGAGCTTCTTGCATCCTTCCGTGGGACATCTGCGACGATAAATGCCCGTGAAATTCGGTTGGCGAGCAGATTTCACATTGCTCTTCGTGTAACACGTGAAAATTGTTTTAGGTGCGGACGGCTGGCGTCGTGTCACGACGCGAGGGCGCCGGTGTGCTTGGGAATTAGGGTGACTGCGCGGAGAAGTCGAGTGCCCGGAGAAGCGCGAAAGAAGAGTGCTCGGGGCTGTGAGAATGAGACGTGAAAATGCAGGTATACGTGACCGAGTGAATCTTGGCTATGGACGAAAGGTCGAGTGAGAGGGATGCGAGCGAGAGGGGTGCGAGTGCAAGGGAGAAACAGCGAACGGGGGTGAGAGTTAAAAGCGAGTGGAAACGCGCGAGCGGGCCGATTTTTCGGGTGAGTTAGCCGGCGAGCGGTTGTGCCAGTCTATTGTTCCGCGTTGCTATTGTCGTGATCTTTTTGTTATTCTCTCGCCTTGCTACTGTTAGTCACACTGTTGTTTTTGTCGTGAACTGTGAGTTCTCGCGATCGATGGATCTCCGAACGAAAGCTTCCTGCGTTACGGTATGAACGTGGGGAAAGTGGAGGTCTGCAGGTAAGCGGAATCGCGAGGAGCTTGTGGGACTTTTCTTGAAGCCAAGAACCGAAGGAGATATATAGTACCTCCTCTTAATCATTAATTAAAGAATTGTAGTTTGATACGCTGGAGACATCGATTCAGACACCATAATGTGGTTATTATATTAACCCTTTGCACTCGAGAGGCGACTCCCAGTCGCATGATGATTTGATGCAGCAAAATTATAAACTTTAGTATTTACCATTAACCCTTGTATACATCAATACGTGAAATATTAAAATAAAATAGTTTTGGTACCTAATTTATGTATGATTTCTTGTTAAATTTAGTTTAGAGAATGCTGTCTACATCTAATTAGAAGGTATAGAATACTTTAAGTGAAAAACTTTCGAGTGCAAAGGGTTAAATATTTCTATATATTCCAAGTTACCGCCAGGAAATACGGTAAAATCGTTACAGCGCAATCGTCGAGTCGAGCGGCGCACAGCGCAAGCGTCGCCGGTCTCCGGCGAAATGCAGCTGGTGACAAGGAATTTTCGTGGAAAGTCGTGAACGGAAAGTTGCGCGTGTTCTTCCCGCCGACGCAATCTCGGCCGACTTTTAAAAAGCAATCGATAACCCCTCGTAGCCCGCGCTTATCGCGTTCCACGATTGCTCTCGCGACTTAGCTGAACGCGCCCTAGCCGCAGTCTTCCCACCTTTGAAGAGCGCGTCGCGGCGTACGCGACGACTGCTCTCGGATGCGTCTCGTCGGCCGACGGAACGGGAGAAAGGGTAGAGGGAAGGCCTACCTCAGCCTCGCGTCGTCGTTGCTCATGGTCTCGAAGCGAGGCCAGTTCTCTCGGCAAGCCGTGCACTCGCACCTGAACCAATACCTCCCTGCCAAGGTTCGTTGTCGTTCTTCTAACGTCCTCTTGGTGAAGATAGGCTCGTAGTTCTCGGCGACCATGTCTCCGACGCGCAAACTGCGGATCGCTCTGATCACGATGGAACGACCGACGAAGTACCTGTGGAAGCGAACCATAACTCGATCCTCTCTTAGTAAAATTTCCTTGTGAGAGCTGTAAGCGTGGATTCACTACGATTTAAATTGGTCTATATTTTAATTTAGGTATCACTGAATCAGCTGCTTTATGCAGTTGACACTAGATTTATGGAACGAGTCAATTTCTCTCTTAGCACTAGAATCACCGAGTAAACCGTCTTTGTAAAATTTGTGAAAGCTGTAAGCGTGGATTCATTACGATTTCAACTGAAAACGGAAAGAATGATCCCAGGAAAATCACCTGGTCACCGCCGGATAGCAGTCATGGTTGAACCGAGCCACCGTCGGGTAAATCGCTACTCCGATGTAAACTGGTCTGCTGCCTCGGAACCGGTGATCCTTGCCCGGCCGAGTCTCGAACACCTCGTGAGCGTTGAACTGCAGCAGCTGAAGGTGTCTGAGCAGCAGCCCGGCTACAGCGATTTCCGGCTCCGTCGGTGGTTCTGGAACGCAACGAAATTTATCCGTCGTGCTCTGCGTCTGACAAGCAGATGACTTATGGCTCTGTTGACAATGATCCTCCGTTTTCGACGAAATGAGCTTCAAGTATACGCGTTACTGTAATAAGACGACGAATGATATTACCATAATAAAATACAAGTCATTCCAAAAACAATGAAAGAAAAAGTAATCGTCCTATTACACTAGAAATATTTGAACATTTTCTGATGAGATAAAGACGTTCCCTCCCTCTCGAAGGGTTAAAACTCGTTTTCAAAAGTGTCAAAAAAGCCACGAAGGTCTCTCATTCCTAGATACTACGCCATGCATTTTTCGAAAACAGATTTTTCTATCCGACCCTCTCCTTATAACAATGGTGTACCTTTTTCATCCAGTTTCGAGTCGCCGAAGAAGCCGACCGTCCGCAGACACTCCAGAAGAAACGCCGCCATTAAAGACCTTTCGAAAAAGTCCCTCGCCGATCTTTGCTTCTCGTGCGCTACCAGCTGGTAGGCGCGCAGGTCGAGGCCTGCGTCCTGCTCGGCGTCGGTTTCCGGTTGGTCCTTCCGGTACCGAGAATCGCGCAGCATCTTCCTCCTCATTCGCCGTTTGGCTGACTTGCCCAGCTTCGTCCGCGGTTCCGTTATTGGCGCCGTTTCCGGGGGACTCGGCTGCTCCGTCGTGTCTTCGGTTTTCTCGCAATTCCGTTGACGCAACGCGCGACAAATGTTTCCGCACTCGGCTGGACCGGACTGCGTGACCATTCGCAGGCTGAGCATGCTGAGAGCGCTCATTCCTGAGCCTGAAGTCGAAACAGAAATGGCTGACGCGTTCACTGCTGAATTTTGATTTGTATTGCTTGTCTCATAGCGATGGTGAATGGTATTAGGATCGATGATGGTTCGTTTGGCTTTAGTTGTTACGTAACGTTATTGTCTAGTTAGGTTATTAGAGGATGTTCATCGACATTAACCCTTTGCGGTCCGAAGTGCTCTTGGTTTCTCACTTTGAGGTTCACGTCGTTAGTTCATTCAATTACAGCTTAATATGACGCTCTATTTATTTATTCAAGAATATTTGGGAATGAAATGTTACCTTTAAATGGTACAATTGTGATACTACGAATAAATATAGAAATAATTGTTAAAAGGTAGAGGTTGCATAAAATAGAATGTCGAGTCTGACATAGGACTGCTGAGGGTTAACCCTTTGCACTCGAGAGGTGACCCACAGTCACTCGATTCGATACAAAATTGTAAAATTTGATGTTCAACATTAATCTTTCTATAGGATAATTACCTATTAGCAGCGCGAGAATTTTGCACTCGTACTTGTGGTAGCTCGCGAGTGCCGCGTCGCGGCAAGCTTGACCGCAGAATGCGACGCTGCTGCAATCCGGACAGCCTATCGGCACCCTCAATCTAGAAGGTTCGAGGTGTCTTTGAAATCTGTCGATCGGATGAAAAGAATCGAACGTTCCTCACCTGGAAAAACAATGGTGGCAATGAGTGCCGAAGAATTCGGGCAAGAGGCAAGCCGCGAGCGGCGGCTCGACCACTAAAGTGTCCCCAGGAACGATCTCCTCGATCGCGACGGCTTGCTTGCCTGCTGTGGCCGTCTCCTGCACGTCCAGCAATGACGAGGCACCCGGCAGCCTTGGATTCTCGCCACCGCTTAGTCGAGGTAACTCTGCAGCGAAATCAAGATTGGGTCGTTAACCGACTGACCAAGAGATTCAACGAGGAAACTCGGGAAAGCGATAATGATGAGGATTGAGTCGTTCGAGGATTGTCCGAGAGAATTGTGGCTAAAGCGTGAATTAGTTCGAATGGTGAATCTTGACGAGTCGATTGCGACGAGAAACGTACGTTTCCTTGGATAGAAGCAGCGCGACGAAGGAACGAGGCTGAGGCACGTTTCGCTCGGTGGCAACTGACCCTCCTCTTTGCTCGTGTGATTTGCTCTGAAAACGCGAGAAAGGAGAAAGGTTTGCGAGCTTCCTTGCTACCAAGAGTTCGAAGACTTGGAGACTTTGAAACTTTAAGATCTCGAAGTTCAATGCTTCAAAACCTTTAAGATTTGGACACTCTGAAACTTCAAGATCTCAAGGTTCAAGGCTTCAAAACCTTTAACATTTGAAGATTGAAACTTCAAGATCTCAAGGTTCAAGGCTTTGAAACCTTTAAGATTTGGGGACTCTGAAACTTCGAGATCTCAAGGTTCAAGGCTTCAAAATCTTTAAAATTTGAAGACTCTGAAATTTCACGACCTCAAAGCTTAATACTTCAAAACCTTTAAAACCTGGAGACTTCGAAACTTCAAGATCTTAAGGTTCAAGGCTTCAAAACCTTCAAGATTTGGAGACTCTGAAACTTCAAGACCTTAAAGCTTAATACTTCAAAACCTTTAAAACCTGGAGACTTCGTAACTTCAAGGCTTCAAAGCCCTTAACACTCTTAGCCTATCTACTCCTCCTCAAAATGATTCAAACTCCAACAATTTCAATAAAACCATTTCCAAAATCGAAATCTAACTGCCATCTCCATCTCCAAATAAATCAACTCACCGGGATCGTTCCGGGAACCTGACTTCCTCAGCCAGCTTGACATCCTCCAAAGCAAGGGCGTGCTCTTTCATCTGCCTGAGTACCTCCGACCTCCCGATCAGCGCTTTCGGCAAGGAGAGTCCATCGTCGATCGATTCGCACTTTCCTGAAAGGGAAATCGAGAAGCGACGGTTTCAGTGGTCCACTTGGGCAACCGGCGATCCAGTGAAACGAGGAAACAAAGACCTGGCATCGGCGCGCGAAGAACGGCTTGACTCAGCAGTAAAAGAGCTTTCTCCAGATCCCCGGCGGCCATTGCTTCCAGGCCCTGGCACCTGCTCGCCTTGGACGCGCGCGCGTCCTTCGGCCTGTACAGGACCTTCGTCCTGCGCAGCGTCCCCAGCACGGTGTCCTTAATCTTGTTATCCGTGAAGACGGTCCGCATGCGAGCCTCGTCGTCGCTCAGCCGGCCGAACACCTTCGAGATCCAAGCTTCGCCGGCGACCTGCGCGACGCACTCGCTGAACTCTTGGAAGAACCCTTTCTTCCCGGAGCGCACCGTCTCCAACGAGCACAAGGTCCTGTAAAAGTCCTCCGAGGTCTCCATGGCGCGACTACTTCCGCTCGGCTTCCCGGACGACTTCTTCCGACACGTCGCAACGCGAATTTGTACCTCGACGCTTCTCGACTGTTCTGATCGCCGAGCGACGAGCGTTGCACCGGGCCGAATGCCGACGAGAGAATACAGAATCCGCGAACCAATTCGCGGTGTTCGCTACCGGTCGAATAAAATTAGACGAAGCTCGCGGCGCTATTTTCAGCGACGCACTTCGCGCGTTGGACGCCGCGCCTGACCGCGGTGATCGGCCGCGAGCTGAAATCTGGACCTTCGTTGACGCAAGTGCTTCCGTTTCCTTTCGCGTTGAGTCTCTTAACACTGAATCTAGTAGTTCGATTGAGGTTTTGAAATTTCTCTATAGAAACTCGGAGAGTGTATCTATTGCTATGATTGATTTGTAATTGAATTTGCGTATTGGATCTTCTTTAGCAATTTCTTAGAGAATCCTTGTTGTCCTTTGAACCCTTTGTACTCGAGAGGTGATACTCGCCAATTGATTTCACACTGTGAAACTATAAAATTTGATATTTAACCCTTTGAACTTTGTAGGCTTCAACATTGCACCAGTTATATTAAATATTTTAATGAATATTAAAGAAACTAGCCTAAAGTTATTAGATATTCCACACCTTCAAATTTTGCATTGAGAAGGAAAATAAAAGATCGAAGAAATGTTATTTCTCATTTCCGCTAATACTATAAAAATTAGTTGCAGTTGCTGATAGATTACAAAACAACCTGTAGCGCTAAGGGTTAATATTATACCTTACATAACGCATCAATTTGAGAAATATTCGAACAAAATATTTCAGAAAATTTCTCGTCGAGTTTCACAAAATATACTCTCTATCTCATCAGAAGACGTTAAAATATTTCTAACGAAATATTCCTATATATTTCTATAAATTCTAATGAACGACGAAATCAATCATTTTGACCTGTCTAGTTTCGCGTGAGCACATTGGTAATAAATCAGAGACGGCTTCCCTAGACCTAGAGACTAAACTAGGGACAACTCGAACGCGTTGGTTCTTCAATTCATCGCTTCCTCTCTTCCCCCATCGTCGCGAGCTTATTCCTGCAACTGAATAAACTTGCTACGCGTCGGCTGCGATAAATGCGCAGTGAACACCGCGCCACTAACCTTTTAGCCACGGCGGGTCTAGCCGCGAAGCTATGCCTCTGCACGGAGAGGTTTGACGCGGTCTGCATATCATAAATGTAATATCACCGCGATTTCAGACTGATAGAATTTTCCACTGTATAATCACGTTAGACTAGACTATAACGTGCACGACTATCGCCGCCAGGGAAAGAGTTGTGCCGCAATATTGGCGCGCCGTTCGAAAAGCTGATACACGCGGGATGAATAGGCTTTGAAACTAACTCGAGGGGAAATCAAAAGTGCACTGAGGAACAAAATTATTTTATTCCAATATTTGACGTGTCGAGGCATTATACGAAATTGAATGTTAAATATTAAATTCTATAATTTTACTGCGTCAGATCAAGTGACTGAGGGTCACTATAATGCAATAATTAGATTATACAGGAACGCATAGTATAATGATTATTGTTAATCGGTTACAGGACTTCGACGTGGACCTTCAGTTCCCCGAAAAGTCTATGGAATCACTGAAAAACTGATACCTACAGAAGTCAGTATAACAGCCAACAGTAGCGAAAAGGTTAACACTAGGTTTACGTTTATATTTATTGCACACTTCATTCTATTATTCCTAAAAGAATTGATGCTCGTTTATTTAGATCGTGGAAACTTCGATAGTAGGTAATTCGGGTACACGTCAGTGTGATCGCATCAATCGAAATCGGCGTAAACATTTACAAAATAATATTTCCCAGATCCAATCCGCGTGAATTCGACGCGGTCCGTAAACCTAGCGACAAACGCATCGCGATCGCGAGGCGTCGATCGGTCCTCGGAGTTTGAAAGCGTGGACGCGCTCCCGCTAGAATCGAGCGTGCGTCGGAGAAGCTTTCCGGTTGCATCGACCGTCGAGTTTCCCCGCGATCTCTCGGGAAAACGGAGGGAAGAGGATGCGGAAAGCCGGAGTGGGGGCTCCGTTGGTGACCAGGAGTCTCGGCCGCGGCGTTTTACGTCGGCGACGACGTAGGCCGGAACACGTGGTTCCGTGGCCGCGGTCGAGTCGCTGGATAATGCGACGGGCGGCGCGGCGCGGCGCGGTGCGGCGCTGTGCGGTGCGGTGCGGTGCGGTGCGGTGCGGCGCGGCGAGACGCGAGTTTGTCCCGTGTGATTCGACCGCGGTGCTTTCAGTTTTGCGACGGAGATCGCAGTCGTCGCGTGCCGCTCGCACGACGGACCGCCACGACTCGCGACGGATCACCGGTTCGCCGACACGTCCGCTGTCACGTCCGCTGTCGTGCCCGTCTCCACGGTGTCCGACGACGTCCGGACCGGCCGTCGGGCAAGAGAAGGTCGCCCGGGGCGTCGCGAGCGCGGGCATAGTGCGCCCGATTCGCGGAGGAGAAGGACTATTCGCGCGATAAATCGTGGGAACGACGATAACGGCAAAGAAAAAAGGCGAGCTCGTCGAAGCGCGGTTGGATTCGAGTATCTTCGAGTGACGTAAGTCGAGCCCGAGCCGCGGACGCGTCGCTTTCCCGTCGACCAATGGGTGCGCGAGGCTCGCGGCGTGCGCGGGAGTTTGACGTGGTGGTCACCGATGACCGGCACCAGAGATCCCGTCGGTTCCCTGCCGTCCATGGATTTCAGTCGATTCCTACGCGGACGTCGGTCGTTCGCGTCGCTGGGCTCTAACGCGATCGTTATGCTCGCCGTTCGCTGATAATACGAGTCTGGTCTCGGAGTACGCGTCTTCGAGTGGATTCTCGCGTGAAAACCGAATACCCGTGGTCGCCGACGATCGGCGCGGTTGGATCGCTTGGGAACGATCGCAGTAGGCCGTCGAATATGCTCGGTAACGTGAGTAAGTAGATAACAGTGCAACGCAAGTATTACGATGTCGAATAATTAGTGCGTCTGTTCGTCTCCGCCGCGAAGCAGCGCGCGATACGCGAGGCTAGGCCCGGATCTTCGATAGGAACGTCGCCGACGAAGGAACCAACACCGATTCCCACCGACGCGTCTGTCCGAACGGTTTCCCACGGTGCGACCGCGCGGACCTAGCTTCTCCGATCGTTCGATTTGCAGATTGCACGTTGCGCTCCGATAGATACCGCTTCCTCGATGATCGCTCGCGATGAATCAGCTCGGCGTACAAAGGCGTCGTCGAGAGTAACGGCGCGCCGGACGGCGAGGAGCGTGTCGCCGGCGGCGGAACGCGCGTGAAACGTACGTGAAACGATCAGTCGTTTCGACCGTCGGCGGCCTATCGACCTCCGACTCCTATTTAATCCGAAACAATTGACTTTCGCCGCCTACGTTGATCGGTTCTCCGTCCAGCGATAAATCAAGACGGGGCGGGTGCATCCGTCCCGCGAAGCGACGCCGCGCGACATAGTGCTCCGCGCTGGCAACGCACCGGTCGCGCTCGACGGTTCTTCGCGCGCGCGCGCGTCTTTCGGTTTGAAACGCTCGTTTCCGAGAACGTTACTCGTTCAACGACGTGTCGGAGTGGTGGTAAATAATATAAATTAATTAATTATTCTCTTTGAATCGAATGTAATATTCTGTCGGTGGTCACACTTCAGAAACATACGGTAGAACATGACTATCATTGTCTTATGAATCAATGGCTAAGTAATTACACCATAGTTGAGAAGTTAGTTAAAGGGCTAACGACAGTAACGTTGGATTCTCGCTCGACCGCCGAACGTGGAGGTAACGAAAGCATACGAAAAGGCAACGTTGCCTCTCAGATCTCGAAATATTGGGCTTCCTGCATCGGTGCTGGATATTCCGAAGCGCACCTCGACGGTGAATCCCTTAACGATCGCGGATCGCTCGCGATTGCTCCGTTTCCTTTTATTTCTTCCTCGTTCTCTCGGCATTTCCCGCACGCTTTCCCCTCGTTGCTCGCCGATGAAAAATTATTAGTCATCCGAACGTTCCGTCGAACCCGCGGATGCATCGGCCGGCGTCGACGCTCGTACGCGTCCCACGTGCAGATGTCGCGGACGCGTTCGCTGCACGGGTCGGACGCGTCGGAGCCGTGAAACACGCGAGATAGATGTGGAGGGCGCAGCGCGCGACACGCAACACGCGACACGCGTACACCAGCGACCATTACGTACCTTTGCGCGACCAATTTAGACACGTGCCGTCAATTTAGAGGCGAGTTAACCTTCGTTAGCCTCGCCACGATTCGGTAACTATGCGAAAAAAGCTGTACTTTTATTTCGATTCTCGATGCTTACGCGCCTCGAACGGCCTCTCGCCGGCGTCCGTCGATACTGGCCGCAAGTTCGACAGATCGACGGGTGAAAAGTACTCGAGGGAATCCTGCTTCTGCGAGAATCACGCCGATCTCGTCGCGACGCGAGTCTCTTCATTCGGATCGGTTTCCGATAGAATCTCCATCGGTAAAAGCAAGCGAAAGCTAACGAATGAAGCCAATAACGAATGCATCAAATGATTTATGAACTCTGCGATTATTCGAGTCGTAGACGCTTCTCGGATTATTAAAAAAATTCACGCGAATTTAATTGACGTTGGAGCGTCTATGGAAGAATTTCGGGAAGCCAATTCCATTGATTCGCAGTTTCAATGCTAAATGAATGAATGTACGAAGCACAGATAAGTTCCGCCGATTAAACGAATCTGCAATAACGCATGTAACACGATTGACGTGAGCTGACACGAGGAAAGTATCGCGCGGCGGTCGGCGGAAGACGCACGCTCTCGTACGAACGGTACCGTTCGCGACCAACCTTGCTCGCGACATTTGATCCGCGTCGCGTAACTCTGCCTCCGTGTTGCTCGTCTCGTCGATGACGATCGATCGATACCAACGGACATAAGAAAAACTCTCGGGTGTCTCGATCGGCGAGATTACCATTGGATTTCATTCGCCGATCGTCTACCGCTTCGTCATCCCAGCCGGACGGCTTCGGGACGAACGTTTCCGCGATATTCCGTGGCAACGGCGAGCGATCACGCGATCGGTTCCCGATCTATCCTTCGGCGACGCGGGCCGCGGATCGCCTCGCTTTCGATTTTCCTCGTCGAGGGCACGAGCGGACGGAGGAACGAACGATTCGACGCGAAAGTATCGATGCTCGGACGTGTCGCGGAAACGAACAAGACGCTGAATTAACGCCGCTTATGCGTGACCAGCGTCCGAGCGGTCGTTGCGTAACGATCGTGCAACGACCTTGCAACGAGATCGAATCGTTCTTTCCTTCGAACGGTGCGATCGGGATTGAAACGTCGACGGCGGAAAGGCGGGGAACGTCCGCGGCCGTTTCGGGAAAGCGAACGAACGAAGGGACGGCGGGCACGCCGCCGAACGGAGAGGAGGATCGAAACGGGACGGCGTATCTCCGGGATTCTCGATTCGTTCGGCACGGTCGTCGGCGTCGCGACTTTCTGCCGCGGCATCGTATCGCCGCAATTTCACGCCGATAACGCCGCATCCACGAGCGCGAAAGGAAATAAGAGTGCGACAACTGCGAAAAGTCGCAACGCCGACAAAATCGGCCGTCCGCATCGAACTTTAGTCAGATAGAGTCCGTCCGTTCGACGATCCGTTCGCGTCCCTGGACTGCGGAGTTCCATGCGAATACGAAGTTATGGGAATGGAATTAGAGATATAGAATTATATATAGTCTTTCCCGGGAGTAAAATGAGTAATATCTATAGTTTAGGTGTAAAAATTTCTTCCTATTGCATTCTGCGCAACGTTGCTTTTTCCAATTCCTCATGAGTACGAAACCAGTCCAGGGATCGGTTCAACATTGGTAGTCTTCTAACGGTGGAACTAAAAGATTGGACACTCGTGATAGCTTCTGTCGTAGCCAAAGAAAAGGTACAGCTGCTTTTTAGAATCCTCTGTTTCCAACGAGTGACGTTAATTAAGACCCAACCGAGACCTAACTAGAGCTACCAAGACATGAGACACTTGTGATTGCTACTTCCTAGCGAAAGAGAAGGTATCGCGAAAGTCCTCCATTTTCGACTAACGAAAGACACGTTTTGTTTCAGAATCGTCAGATATGCTGCAAAGCTTGACGTTCGTCGGTGCCAACCGGTTCGACGATGATTCCCGGGACCGCGCGAACGTCTCTGACCGCTTGTCGACCGGTCAGTGCGATCTTCAGGGCGCACAGCTGCCCGGCCGAACGGAGAAGCCGAGGGGAAGCAACGGCGCGTCGAGGAACGTGACGATGACGATGACGACGGCGACGTCGACGTCGACGGCTGCGCAGGCGACGACGCCGACGGAGACACCGACGTCCACGGCGAGGGAACAGGAGTCCGCCGTGGCCACGGACGAGCGGCCGATCTACAGCGAGTGGTTCCTCGCGAGCTGCGCGGAGCTGGCGAGTTACGGCGAGCAGAGCCACGACAGAGGAAACACCGCGACAACCTGGCTGTTTCAGGTTCGTCGGCGATGTTCGAACATTTGCAGTAAGTCCGACACTTTAACTTCGGGATCGCTGCGATCGCGATCGGTACGGCGTCGCGAAACCGCCGGAGCGCGTCTTCTGTCGGAGAGGACGTCGAATGGCTTTGTAGCTTCTGCTCGTTGTCTTTTTTTCGAAGGAAGGACGGGGAAGGAGGAGACGATGCGAAGAAGAGGAAAACTTCGGTCGATAAGATCGATCGAACGATACGCTTCGAGTCGAAGCGAATGATTCGCTTACGGCGCAACTCGCGATTCCTCGGATTTACAGTGTGGAATTTCGAACGCCGCTCGTCGATGATTCCGCCGCAACGTTAATTTTCCCGTGTTGCAGATTGGCTGCCGAAGGTGTGCTCTTGCCTGGAGAACGGCGTCGCGATCCCTCGGTTCTCCGGCCGGTCCGTGACCCGAGTCGGGAGCTACGAGAGATTCGGCTCCCTGGGCACCGACGTTTTGGAATTCGGCCGTGCGATCCCGTCGACGGCGGGAACAGCGACGGCGAAGGCGCGCGCGACGAACGGACACCGGTGCGACGATAGCAACGGCGTTGGTCGAGTGAGTGATTGATCTTGTGATCGGGAATGTTCGTAGAAAGAGGTCGCACGAGCCAAATAACTGAGTTCATCGAGTTGAAAGCTTTGACGTTAGTTTCTGTGATATATTGTCCGAATTGATAATCGAGTGGCTTTTGAAAATGAAATTTGAGAACTATGTTTGAGGGTCAATTAACTCGGTCGATTTATTCGGAAAATATCCATACGTAGAGACCAGTTCTCGTAGATCTATAGATTAACAGTAGAACTACCGAGCGTTGAGTATTGTACTCTTCTCGAAAATCATTTCAGACGGTAGTTCTAGTGTCAAAGAAGCGTGCTCAGTTGCTCTGTTGCTCGACGATCGTCTTGAAAATACTCCGGTTCTCTCGTCCAGGTGATGGAATTGCACTTCCACAACGACGACGACACGTGGTGCAGCTTGCTCGTCGAAGACAAGCTCCGCGCGGACGACGCGTGCCGGCTGCTCAAAACGAAGAGGAGCGTCTCCGGAGTCGCCTGGTCGATCGTGGAAGAATGGCCGGAGCTGGGAATCGGTGAGAGGGTAGCCCGGTAGACGCGCGGTACACACGCGGCGCGGCGCGACGCGATCGGTCATCCGGTTCGCGCGATTTCGATCAGCGTCGAAATCGTCCGATCCGATGATCAGCGACGGGCGTTCGAATCTCAGCTTCGAAACGATTCGCAGTTCAATGCCGCGACAATTCGAGTCGCTTCGAATACAATTCGATCTCACAAACCTGTCCAAAGTCTTGGAAAGATTCGAAATCTTAGAAGCCTCGAACGTCAGGCCTCAGAGGCTTCTGGGATCGTTCAAGATTCTCAAGATCCATCGAATCATTCGAGACTTCCACGATTTCGAGTCTTCTCAAGACTTACAACAGGTCGAATAGAATCTTATTCGAAGTAATTCGAGCCTTTCGTCACGGATTCGAAACGATTCGAGATGCCTCGAGGCCCGTCGCCGTTGATGACTCGCGCGGCGCGCGAGCTCGACCTCGCCTCCGGCTTCTCGCGAGCCCGAGACTTCCCGACGGTTTAACCGCGCGCGGCATTCGAAGCAGGAACTGATCGAGTTGGACGGAACGTAGGTCCAGGGATCCAGGTATCCAGGGACCCGGGGATTCGGAGACTCGGAGATCGCGGCAAGCTCGAGGCTCGAGCTCGGGTTTTCGCGCGTCGTCCTCGAATGATCGGTCGCGTTTCACGGAATCAATGTTATCTGGTATCGCGCGTCGAATCGGTTTCGCAGAGCGTACTCTGGAAGACCACGAAGACGTCGCAGCCGTGCACAGAGACATGAAAGTGTTCGCGGCTCGGTTCCGTAGCAAGTTCCTCTTTCGAATGGACTACCTCAAGTACGAGTTCTTCGTGGATCCAAAGGTGAGTAACAGAAAATTCAACAGTTCTCTCCCCTCGAACAGACGTCTCTCTTAGAAACTGAATATTAGCCCTTTGCACTCCAGAAGTTTTTCATTAGAAGTACTCAACATCTTTTAATCAAATACCAACGACATTCTTTCAAACTGACTTAACGAGGAATCGCACATAAAATAAAGAGGCTATAATTTTGCTGTGTCAAATCAGTTGACTGAGAGACGCCTACGGAGTGCAAAGGGTTAGAAGAGCAATAAGGAATCGAACTGTATCTTTATTCCAAGTAGAACTCTCCTTCCGACATTGAATTTTAGAAGCGTTGCATGCATCGCAAAATTCGGCGAACGTCCATTGTTACGGTGCTCTCGATCGATAACCGACCGACGTCAGTTGCGACTTTACCGACGGATCGGCCTCGTACCTTCCGTTGATGAAATCGTCCGCCCGCTCTTTGCTACCGCGAAAACTAAACCGAAACGAACCAGTGAAAAGGAAAAGAATGTATTCTAATCGAACCGACGTTGAATCTGTTCCAGCAATTCTTTCCGTCCGACATGGCCACGTTCCCTATTGCCGACGTAACCGTGAACGACGGAGGAACGTTGATCGACGAGGAAAGCGCTTTACGAGTAAGAATCAGGATCGAACGCAATTTCTCCCATGGAAAACCTCTGTACTCAAGACTCGTTTCTTCGATTGCAGAATTACCTGCTTCAAGACAACGCGCAGTGCCCGCAAGTGTTGAGCTTGGCGTGGGTGCGGAACGGATACTTCGACGCTTGGAGGAAAATGTATCTGTTGCTGCGGAACAGAAAGCTATACGTGGCCAAAAAGGTAACTGGCGGCTCGCGCGCGGAACGTTCGATTTTCCGCTTTCTCGTCGCCTTTTACGCGATACCAATGATTCACGGTCCGCGGGATCGGTTCTATCCCCGAAGGTGCGTTTTATCACCTTGTTTTCTACGCGAGGAAAGGCGTCGATACAGAGCCACGCGTGCACGCACGCATCGCGAAAAGCGGTTTAATCGTCGAGCGTTACGCGGCTCGCACGCTCGCGCGCACTTTTCCAAGCTATTTCTCCTAGCCGCTTTCACCGACCGCGATGCGTTTTTACCGCTATCGCCAGCTCGCAATCGCTCTCGTCGCAACCTCGCAACATCGCAAGTTGGCGACTCTTGCAACTTTGCAACGTCGCGACCATTTCTCCTCCCACCTCCACCCTGTGGCGTGTCCCTTCTTTTTCCTTTATTCCTTCGCCTGCTCCTATCCCTTGCTCCTTTCCCTTTACCCTTATCCCCCTGTTCCAGGAAGACATTTCCTGTTCTTCGAACACGTTTCGAGCGTCCGTCGTTCATCGTGACAAAAGTCAAAAACCACCGAGAAAGAGGCACGCCGTAAGGCTGCAAAAGCTACGCTCGCCAGCGCCTCGCTACTGTTAGAGACTCGACGTCCAGAGAGACGATGTACGATCAAGCGAAAGGTTCTCCGCTGTGGTTCGCTCGTTTCGATCGGTTCCGAGTGACGATTAATGAATAGTAAATTAGCGTCGCGAATAAGGTGAGAAGCGAGCAATCAGGCCCAATCATGACTCCGATGCTTTCACCGTGAGTCGCGTTTGATGTACCGTCCGTCCCGATGTTCCGGATCAACGATCATCGACGGTTTTTCGCTGTTCCGCCGGACAGTTAAAAACCGTCGGTGATCGTTGACTCGGTACACGATGCATGCACGCTGTACATCGAGAGCGTGTTTCCACGCGCACCGGTGTCGGTGCGTCTTCGACCCCTGACGAAGCCGACTGCAACGATGGCGAAACGTCGGGATAGCGTTACCAGCGGGCACGGCTCACACCCGAAAGCCTCGATCCGGCGGAATCATCGGCACGTTTCTCAGGCTAGCCCATCCAGTGATTTTCCTACGGTACACCGGTACCTCCCGATGACTCGCCGGCGAGTCCATCCGAAACGGCGAACGGCGAGCGAGCGACGGTAATCGCGATACCAGCGACGCGAGCTTGTTCGCAGGTAAGACAAAGGTGTAAAACGAGCCGCGCGACGCGCGTGACACACATTCGCGGCGATAGAGCTATTCTGCTAGGAACACCGCTCTTTGGGTCGTCGACCTACCGATTCCCTTCACCTCCCCGGCCCACCCCACTCCTCGGCCGACCGCTCCTCTTTTTCTCCTCCTCCTCTGTTCCCTTTTCTCCTCTCTTCTCCTCTCCTTGCTGCTAATCAGCTCGCCTCGCCTTTTCTTTTCCAGTTCTTCCTCTTCCTTTTCTACTTTGCCCGTTTTCGCGGCGAGTCCGCAACGCCTCGCGCCAGTCCGCCGCCTCGCGCAGCTCCGCTCTGCTACGTCGCGGTTTCCTCTGCGAGGCTCTCGTTCTCCCGCAGCTTGAATGCTATTTCAGTCGGAATCGTACGCACGTTCTTATTAGAATCGAGCCTCCGTCGGTTTCGCATGGATTTCATATACGATTCCCGTGGCGTTCGTTCTATTGGGAATCGCCTAGCGTCGCCGGTTGCCGCGAATGTTCCATTCTAGCGGCGTTCGGTTGACCGTATCGCGCTCGCCGGTAACGAGCTCCCATTCGTCGCACCTGCGCCGACGAAACCTCGCGAACCTCGACCTCTCCTGTTGCTACCTGTTTTCTCCTCGTACTCCTCTTCTTCATCGTGCAGCGATTGAAGCGAGTGATAGGGCGATAGGGAAAAAGGAACAAGAGAGTGTCCAGGATCTGTTGGTAAACCCGCCGGTATAGGTCCCCCGGCTCGTGTTGAAACTTGTTGCGATGCATGCATCGGCTCCCAGGTTTCAGCAACTGACGTCACACGACAGACCGAGAAGGTTGCGTGAAACATAGGAATCAACGCATGCATCGCAACACGTTTTAATGCGTGTAGAGGGCTCGAGGCTTTCTAGCAGATCCCCTATCTTAGCAAGGACGGTTTCATGGAAAATTACGGAAGGTTTGTATAGTGTAACGTGCAGAGAATTAAGTAGGAACAGGAATATTTTGTAGATCCTTGCTGTCCTCTTCTAGTAGCCGATTTGGAGACTTCTTCTTCATTTCGTCCTCGTCTTCTTCATCCTCTGCTTCATCTTCTTTTATATCCTCCTTCTCCTCTACTTCTTCATCCTCTTCTATATCCTGCTCATCCTCTGCTTTCTCTACTTCATCCTCTTCTATATCCTTCTCTTCATCCTCTGTTTCTTCATCTTTTATATCCTTCGCTTCCTCTACTTCTTCATCTTCTCATATATCCTTCTCTTCATCCTCTGCTTCGTCATCGTTTATATCCTTTTACTCCTCTACTTCTTCATCCTCTGCTTCCTCTGCGTCATCCTTTTCTATATCCGCCTCCTCATCCTCTGCTTCCTCTGCGTTATCCTTTTCTATATCCTTCTCTTCATCCTCTGCTTCCTCTACTTCATCCTTTTCTACATCCTTCTGTTCATCCTCCGCTTCATCATTTATATCCTCCGCTTCCTCTACTTTATCCCTTTCTACATCCTCCTCCTTATCCTCTGCTTCATCTTTTATATTCTCTGCTCCCTCTACTTCATCCTCTTCTATATCCTCTTCATCCTCCGCTCCATCTTCCTCTTCGTCTTCTCGATCCACTTCCCCCGTCGCCGTCCGGTTCTCCGGTCTCCTGGCTCTGTCAGGAATCGGGCGGCACCGAATGTTCGGTTCCGGAACGGTAGTTTCGGCGACAACCGGATACTCGGTTCCCGGGGACGTCCCGAAAACGCAGCAGCCCCGGCTCGACAGTTTCGATCGGCACGGTTTACCATCGCAGTCGCCGTTGCTGTCGCCGTTGCTGTCGCCGTCACCGGTGCGATTGAGGCGAGCTCGGCCGGCAGCCGGCTGTCACCTTCGATCCAGCTTCTCCCTCCCGCTAACCCTTTCAACTCCCCCAATTCCGTCGTCCCCGTCCCTTTTTTCTCTCCGTTCAGGGTGCCGGGCAAACACAATACGTTTTCGCAACACGGAACGTTACGCGACCCGACCTCCGTTGCATCCACGTCATTGTTCGCGTTCGTGACGCGTGACGAGCCGCGAACGGTCTGCGTTTTCATTCTCGTTTTCGTTCTCGTTCTCGTTCTCGTTCTCGTTCTCGATTCCGTCTGGGTTAGCCGGCGCGCGGTCCTTCGTCGATCGATGGGTCTCTCGATCGAAAATCCGAGCTCCCCTTTCGAAAATCCTGCCGACCCGTTCGCATTTCGCTCTAAGAAACCGCGCCCGTTCGTTTGAATTCGACGTTGATGGATCAAACACTCCGTTTCCCTATTAAATAAACTCTAATCTACAAATCTAATCTAGAAGTCTACAAATCATTTCTCTCTGCTTTCAGATGAACGTCCTATCGAAGAAGCAGCTACCGGTAAGTAAGCTAGCTGGGATATCCGGGACGAATATCCGGCGAAAGCGTCCTACTCGGTGGTCGGTGTTATCGCAGGGCTGCGTTTCCTCGTCAACGTCTCCCGTTGAATATTTCTCACGCTCGCCACTATTCGAAACGAAAGACTCGTCTGGCAAAAATAAAGAAAACGCGTGCATCGTCCCGTCGATCGCTCGACGATCGAGTCGCGTTCGGAAAGACGCGCGCGTTCTCGGTCCGCGCGGACGGAGTCGAACGGCAGGAACCGGAAGAAAGGAAGGAAGGAAGGAAGGAAGGAAGGAAGGAAAGAGGAGAAAACCCGCCGCGCCGTGCCGCGCGGGACCGATTTAGACTTCACACGAGTTTAGTGGGTTAGGGTATTTAGAGTAGCATGCGCGCGGCTGTCTTCTGGCGGCCGGCCAAATCCCACGGATTTCCCGAGCGCGTAACCATCGTTTTTAGCGCTATCGGTTGAAATACACGGACATCTCGTCTGATAGGTCGGTCGTTTCTCTTCATCCTTGGTCCGCGAGTCCCGCGTCGCGATCGAGGCTCGGAACTCCTCCGGCTGGGAACAGGACTCGAACCGGGCAAGGGCTCCCTCGCCGATCGATCCACTCGGTTTTCGGAGAGTCGGGCTGCGGTTAGAGCAGCGAGGTGAGCGTCGCGGTAAAATCAAACGGACTTGAATGCATGTGTTCGTAGTGCACCGCCGAGCAATATAAATAACGGAGCAGCCAGAGGCGACGACGTTCGCGTCCGACGTGGCGATCGACGCGATCGAAGTGTCGCGATTCATCGGGATACCGTCCGTTCGTCGTGGAACCTTGATTAATCGGCTCGACCAACGCTCGGGACAAGTGGGGGACACCTTCGAGGAACATTCGCGAAATCGGCCCTGCGCGTGTACCCTAAGCCACAGCTCCAACCCGAACCATCGAGTCGGCGAGCGAGACTTCGACCGATCTAGCTCGCGAAGAACAGCAACCCAGTTAATCAAGGTTCTACCGCATTTCGCTCCCCGCAGCTCCCGCTCCCCGCTTCGCTATGACTCACTCTCGGATCAAACCGATAAACTCCGCTTCGGGAATGTTTCCAGCTTCTACGTCCACAGAACACTTAACCCCTTCCTCCCGCATACAGCTCCAGCAGCCTGTGCTCTTCATTTACCGCAGCCAGCTCGTACCGCGCGCCGCGTCCGCACGACCCGTCTCCCACCCCCTCG